GCGCTCCCAGGATCGCTGCCAGACCACAGCACCATATGTCTCCTTTTTTTTGGTATTTTCACGTAAATTCTTCTGCTAGTTGGGGTTTAGTCCACTTCTGTATCCTTCCCTTCAAGGCTCAGGGGTCCAAGATTATCTTCTGTGTCTGTGTTAATTGGTTTCCCTTTCCTTTGTTGAAGAAGGTCTGTGCAGTCTTTCTGCCTAGTCCGCCATCTTGCTGGAACTCCTCGGTTATGCCAAGAGGTTTGGAAAACATCTACCTAGCCAACTGACTGGTAGAGATCCATATTTGTACCCATTCCAAAGAAAGGTGATCCCACAGAATGTGGAAATTATCAAACAATTTCATTAATATCACACACAAGTAAGATCTTACTGAAGATAATTCAAAAGCAGTTGCAACAGTATATTGACAGAGAACTTCCAGAGGTGCAAGTTGGATTCAGAAGAGGACGTGTAACAAGGAATATCATAGCTGCTGTCAGATGGATCCTGGCTAAAAGCAAAGAATACCAGAAAGATGTTTACTTGTGTTTTATTGACTATGCAAAGGTATTTGATTGTGTATATCATAACAAATTGTGAATGACATTGAGAAGAATGGGAATTCCAGAACACTTGATTGTGCTCGTGAGGAACCTGTGCATTGACCAGGAGGCTGTAGTCCAAACAGAATAAGGGGACACTGCATGATTTTAAATCAAGAAGATAGTGCATCAAGGCTGTATCCTTTCACCATACTTATTCAATCTGTATGCCAAGCAAATAATCTGAGAAGTTGGACTATATGAAGAAGAACATGGTATCAAGATTGGAGGAAGAATCATTAACAACCTGAGATACACTGATGACACAACTTGGCTTGCTGAAAATGAGGATGACTTGAGGCACTTACTGATGAAGATTGAAGAATACACTCTGCAGTATGGATTACATCTCAATATAAAGAAAACAAAAATCCTCACAACTGGACCTATGAGCAGCATCACGATAAATGGAGAAAAGATGGAAGTTGTCACAGACTTCACATTGCTTGGCTCTATAATCATTGCCAATGGAAGCAGCAGTCGGGACATAAGACAACGTATAGCACTGGGCAAGTTGGCTGCAAGGGACCTCTTTCAAGTACTGAGGAGCAAGACTGTCTCCTTGAGGACTAAGGTGCACCTGACACATGCCATGATATTTTCAGTTGCCTCGTATACATGTGAGAGCTGGACAATGAATAAGGAAGACCAAAGAAGAATTGATGCTTTTGAGTTGTGCCGGCGAAGAATCCCGGAAGTACCGTGGACTGCTAAAAGAACTAATAAATCTGTCCTGGAGGAAGTGCAGCCAGAATGCTCTTTGGAAGTGAGAATGGCGAGACTTGGTCTCACTTACTTTGGTCATGTTGTAAGAAGGGACCATTCCCTGGAGAAGGATGTCGTGCTTGGTAAGGTGGATGGTCGACGAAAGATGAGAAGGCCCTCAACAAGATGGATTGACACAGTGGCTATGACAATGGGCTCAAGTATAGCAAGGATCATGGAGCTGGCACGAGACTGGGCAGTGTTTCATTTTGCTGTGCATACAGCCACTATGAGTCAGAAACTACTCAACAGCACCTAACAACAACAACTCATCCCACTTCCTGTCAATAGCCAGTTTTCCCTGTGTTCTTCCTTCTTATGCGTCCCTGCCCCCCGAGCTGTCTTCCTGTGCATCCACAGCCTTTCTATTCTCCCATGAGTGATCTCTCCAAAGAGTGTGTCTAGCTAATGTAAATATTCAACTCATATGCCTGTTTTTTGTTTGGCTGGAAGCCACAGAAGTAGGTTCACTTCCACACCTGAAGGGCAGCTAGAGGCCGTAGTCTCAGGGGTAACACCAGGCTCTATCGGACCAGCAAACCTGGTCCCCTTTTTTTTTTTTTTTTAATGATTTTAAGTTTTGTTTCACATTGTTCACCCACTCTATCCAGAATCTCCTACATGGATACCCCTCTGAGTGGTTGACAGTGGTAGCCAGGTACCATCTAGTTCTTCTGGTTTCATAGTCATATAGGCTGAGGATTGTATGGTATACCAGTCCCTTGGACTGATTGTTTCCACACATCTTTGGTTTTCTTTATTCTCCCTGAAGTCTTCTTAAAAACAATAAGTCTGTTCTTTCTTTTTTTTTTTTTATTAAATAGTGATTCTTTTCTTCCAGTTGTTTAACTAATATCCTGGTTCTCCCTCACCCCATAGGCCCTGTTCAACACCATCATCCCAGATCACCAGGCAGATGCCTTCTCCCCACCTCGCCTGGCCCCCTCGGGCTCTGTGGACCAACTTGTAGAAGTTCTTCTGGGTGGCCTGTCTCACTGGGATGCTGAGCACTTCCTGTTCATTGCCGAGCATGGCTACCTGTATGAGCACAACTTTGCCTTCTTCCCTGGTTTCCCCTTGACCCTGCTGGTAGGGGCTGAATTGCTGCTGAGACCCCTGCGAGGGTTACTGAGCCTACGGAGTTGTTTGCTAATTTCAGTAGCATTGCTCAACTCCTTGTTCTCTGTGCTGGCTGCCGTGGCACTTCATGACCTGAGCTGTCTGGTTTTGCATAGTCCTCACCAGGCCTTCTACACAGCACTGCTCTTCTGCCTCAGCCCTGCCAATGTCTTCCTGACAGCTGGTTACTCAGAAGCTCTGTTTGCCTTCTTGACATTCAGTGCCATGGGGCAGCTTGAGAGGAGCCAAAGCTGGACTAGTGGATTCCTCTTTACCCTTGCCACTGGTGTACGCTCCAATGGGCTCATCAACATTGGGTTCCTTGTGCATTCCCAATGCCGGAGCCTTTTTTCTTCTCTCAAGGTGAAGAGCCCCCTGAGGCAGCTCATTAAGCTGATGGCCTCTGCATCCCTGTCAGTGCTCACACTTGGCCTTCCCTTTGTCCTCTTTCAGTATTATGCCTACACCCAGTTTTGTTTACCAGGCTCAGCCCCATCCATCCCTAAGCCCTTGCAGCAGTTGGCTGTGGATAAAGGATACCACATTGCAGATGGAAATAAGCCACCTTGGTGCTCCTGGAAACTTCCCCTAATATACAACTATATCCAGGATGTCTACTGGAATGTTGGCTTTTTGAGATACTATGAACTCAGGCAAGTGCCCAATTTTCTACTAGCTGCACCAGTGGCTATACTGGTTGCCTGGGCAACTTGGACATATGTGACCACCCACCCTTGGCTCTGCCTTACACTTGGGCTGCAAAGGAGCAAGAACAGTAAGACCCTACAGAAGCCTGATCTTGGATTTCTCAGTCCTCAAGTGTTTGTGTACCTGGTCCATGCTGCAGTGCTCCTGCTCTTTGGAGGTCTGTGCATGCATGTTCAGGTAAGGTCAGTTCCGGACTAGGATAAGGATATGAATATGAGCAAAACTTACTCCAGTGAGCAGGGAAGATAGCTAACTTCTCCCATATGAGTGACCCATATACCTGATTTATTCATTCAGCAGCTGTTAGGGGACTTCCTTTATGTCATACCCTGAGTGAGACCATTGTGGATAGAAATGGTGCCCTAGTGGGTTTCATAGTATAAATGGTGAGATAAAATTATAGTACAGCAGATGGAAGAGGGGTTGCTGTTTTGAGATAAAGTGCTATGGGAGCTCAGGGGAAGAAGCACTAACTGATTGGAGGAATTGAGGAAGGCATTGCATTTCAGGTGGGTTCTGAAGAATAAGAAGGGATTTTCCACATAAGAATCAGAGGAAGAACATTCTGGGGAAATGAAGAGGTATGTGCAAAGACACAGGGATCGTGAATAAACTGAATTCAGCTAAGATACAGGAATAATCAGGATGTCTCTGGGATCTTCCCCTAATGTGCAACAATATCTAGAATATCTACTTGAATGCTGGCTTCTTGAGGTACTCTGAGGCAGGTGCCCAGTTTTCAGAGGCAATATCTTGTCTCGTGTCTGGAGTGGTAGGGATAGGGAGAGTGTGATCACACACCTAATTATTTTGTTTCTGGTTCTGGCCTCGGTTTCAGCATAATGCAAGAAAGTCTTTTTGCCCCCATGCTTACTTCTTCTGAGCAGTTTCTGGAGGTGCACATTGATTGTTTGTAAAGTTCTTTGAGCTGTGTGGATAAGAGACACAGGGGAAATAGAAAACAGCATTGTGTGTTTGTACCTGGATTAGCTAGTAGAGTGAGTGCCAGCATAGCACAGAGCTTCCAGGAGGTGAGATGAAGGAGGCTATTTAGAGATCTGGCTCTGAACTCTCCTTGGGGGAAGAATGGTGAACCACCCTCTGCTCTGAGATCCCTGTGGGATGAGGAAACCACCCAAGATTCCCAATCCTCACACGACAGCCCAGAGTTGAGAGTCCAGGCACTGGGCTGAAATTGGACCCTGTGTTAGACTGGGTTATCTAGAGAAACAAAACCAGTAAAGCTTATATATATATATGTATATAGAGAGAAATTTATCTTAGGAAAATGGCTCACACACTTACAGAAGCTGGCAAGTCCAAAGTTCCTGGATCAAACGTCAAGCTGGAGGCTTTTCCTGACTCTTGCAGTTGCAGGGGCCGAGGAGTTCAAGGCTGGCAGGCAGTACACTGGCTGTTGACTCCAATGAATGACGAATCCAAGATCTCCAGGCCGAATGGTGGATTGTTCACTCACGGACAGTTGTAGGCAGCACAACAGAATTCCGAACCACAGAAGAATGTCTCTTTTCCTTGAATGTCCATAGATATACTGGAAGCAGGCCATACCCCTAGGGAAACTCCCTTTCAACAGATTGCCTGCTTAGAGCAGAATCATCTGATCCCATCATGGGAATAACCATATCACAACAGCTTAAACCACACAGAATTGTGGTCCAGCCAGTTGACACACAGCTCCAACTATCATAGACCCTATACGTAGAGTTTTAGTGTTGGTTGTCCCATTATTGTGGTAATTACTCCATAGCTAGTGTCATACGTCTTTATAAAGCAGAATCTAAGCACTACTGAATTTCTTTTCCAATGTAATAAATTTCTAGTGCATGTCATGGGCCAGAATTTACTAGGAGCAGGGAAGCCCCACTGCTGGTCCAATTTGAGTGAGTAACATTCCAATAAATCTGTGAGTTTTTCTTTCTCCTGTGATTTCCAGGTTCTCACCAGGTTTTTGGGCTCCTCCACTCCTATTGTTTACTGGTTTCCAGCTCACCTGCTTCAGAATCAAGAGCCATTGCTGAGGTCCCTAGAGACTGTGCCTTGGAAGCCTCTTGCAGGGGACTCCCCACCAGGAGAAAAGGTCCCCAGAAATCCTATCAAGGGACTTCTGTACAACTGGAAAACTTGTTCTCCAGTCACACGATACGTTCTAGGCTACTTCCTGACTTACTGGCTCCTGGGACTGCTCCTGCATTGCAACTTCCTGCCCTGGACATGACCTAGACTCTCAAGGGACAGGCTTGAAGCAGACTTAACCCAGGACTCTGAAAATCCAAATACACTTAGCATTATTACTTTGTCTGTTAAAACCTTTCTTCTTTCTTGCTCTCTCTCAGAAGGTTAATGGTTGGGTATAGGAAAATAGGTATAGGTATAGTTAGGTATAGGTAGGTATAGCTATGCGAGCCACTAGAGAGCCCCTCTGGTCCTGACTATGGCAAAGTTTAGAGTAGTAGCTATTCACTGTAAGTGAAGATGTCTTATTCCAAGTCTGAAGTGTACCTCAATCTGTCCTCTAGTCAACCAACTGTAGCAGAGATAGTCTCAAACTTACTACTGACATGTAAATTTAAATAAATGTAAATTTTATCAACAGCTCTTGCTGACAGGATGATAGAGACCTGTTGCATATAGTAGCAGTAGTACAATGAGACCATCTTTCCTAAATAGACCTTTTCTGACATTTTTTAATGATTTGTGAACTTATTAATATGAAAAATCTTACAAACGTGCATATTAAATATTCAGCTATACATGCAATTCATAATACAAATTACCTGGAAACACTATTTTTCCAGAAGTAACAAAAATCAGATTAAGGAGAATGCTACATGAGGAGGCAAGAGACGTGGATTCTAGGCCTCCTCATAAAACCATATTTACCAGCTGTATGACTTTGGGTTATTGGTTAGAGCCTAAGTTACTTCTTCTGGATCTAGGAGAAATGATAATTGTTCCTGCTGGGGAATGGAACCCTTTTAACTCTAAGATCTTAAGAATTGCCTTAAATGGAATCATCCTAGTCTATGCATGTATATACAGGCCCAAACATCTGATTTTAGGATAAAATATCTCCATTTCTCCTGCTTTCAGCAATTAGGAGATACAACTCTGAAAAATAACTTATGTGATCTTTTGTTTGAATGAGGGAAAGCAGTGACAGCTAGCAAGTAGGTCCTGAAGAAGTAAACTCGTGCTGGGGATCTGAATGGTCAAAGCTGGGGCTGATTTTCCTGTTGTCTTCCAGTACCTGGGTTTGCTTGCATGCTCGACATGGCTCAGAGGAGCCAGCACAGCAGCATGAATTGGTAAATTGTAGGTAAGTCGAAGGTTGAATGCAACCTTATCTGCCCAGCCTCTTGGCCTCTATTTGGTTATGAGACCAGACTATACACTGGCAGTAAGATCATTAGCTCCTCCTGAGCTGTTTTTGCTCATTCCTTGAGCCAGGTAAATCAGGTTCTATATTATCACCACTCATACTCTACTTGAGTCAAAAATTTCCAATAAGCAGAAACTCTTTTAAATAGATGAGTAATCTAATCAACTTCTAGAGAGCCCTGAGAATTGGAATTTTGACACACTCCCTCTGACGGTGACAGACTGCTAAACTTGCCAACTAAAGGGAAGCTCCTGGCTGAGTCCCAGCACCCTCTGTTGGAGTTTCTGGTCACCCTGGCCAATAAGCATTTCCCATCCATCGCCCCAGCACAAGCACAGCTGAGAGAATTTGGTCCAGAGTCAAATGCTTCTGAAAATGTACACACAGATCGGGGCAGCCCTCTGCCTTCTGCCAAGACACCCAAGTGCCCTTCTTGGCAAAACATGATCACCCTTGCCCTAGTGTCCCTCCAGTTGGCAGAAGCTGTTAATTCTCTCCTCACCAACAGCTTCAAATCCAGGGACTTCCACCCTGTGTGCAGAAAGAGTTGGGGCCTTTTTCAGCTCTTAATTGCTAAGGTAGGAGCACTAGATTCTTTGCTTTCATGGATTCTCTTCTTTGCCTCCTTTTAGGGGATAACGGGAACTGATTGTTTTCCTACTGGAAGAGGTGACTCAAAGTACACAGGGTTGGTTGGGTGTGATTTCACTGCTTTGGCAGTCTTAGATCATACCAGATCTTATCACCCCTGGGAACAAGTGATTTTAAGAACCAGAAGCCTTATTAGTGGGAATCCCATCTTCTCAACTAATAGCAGGGAGCTCAATCACTCTAGTATTCTGCAAAGACTATTATGGTTTCAGCTGATAACTGAGGAGATAACTGAACATCCCAGCCTGGTGGAAGCACCTGGTGTAACCTGGAGAAAGACATAGTTTTCTCTCTGACTTTGGAGGGATCTAGTTGCTGTTCTCTAAGGATCTAAGGAATGGGCTGCTTTTATGGCCAGCAGCTGTCCTTTTACTATCCTATTACAGTCTTTAATAGGCTGGGAGAGGGACATGAAGGGCTCAAGGCAGGAAGCTTCCTGTTTACCCTGAGGTCTAACAATGCCCCAGCTGGGTTGGGCATCTACAATTTCAGAGAAAAGTCATTTCCTTCTGAGACCCTGCTAAAACAGAAACCAGACGCTTAGTGTACCTAGAGTTAGATGTTTTTTGTTCTTTAATGAAGGTGGGAGGAGAAGGAGTGTTTGACATGGTCCTACCAGTCCCCCTGGGGGGAAAAATCATTTCTTTTTCTGAACAGACCCTCTCACCTTTATCTAAAAATGTAATGTGCATAGGCTCAAGGGATTTGAAATTGATTGATTGATTCAGTAATTATTTATTAATGCCTATTTTAGAGTAATGGAGATGACTCAGCTGTGACTTCTGTCCTAAAGTAATTGTCTAATAGAATAGCTAGCATATATAAAGGAGTATTAAGATAGAAAGTGATAAGTGCTGGGGAGTGAGGGGATACTTAAACTTTTTGCTCTATATCCTCCTGTACTTGGAGTTTTTATGAGAATGTAGTTTTACTTGTGCACTTAGAAAAAGTTAAGTGAACTACAGAACAAATATTCTGTAAATTCATACAAAAGATGGAGCTCCCTTCCAACTTGAGATACCTAAGAAGACTTCATGGAGAAATAGCTATTGAACTGAACTTTGAAGTATAGGTAGAATATGAAAATTAAGGACAGGGAATGAATGTGGGAGTCAGGAATTGGAACAGTCCAGGGAAATCTCAGTTTGAGGGCTGTTGGGTTAATATCATTGTTGACATCTAGGCTTCAGCCCCAAAGCCTAGCTCCAATTGTGTACTAGCTGTGTAAACATGAGCCAAACACTGACTCTCTAAGCCTCAGTTTACTCATCTGTAAAATGTAGATAATAATACTGTCTACTTCATAGATGTGGATAATGTTATTTACCTCATAAGAATGTTTGAGAATTAAATGAGTTACCACATAAAAAGTGTTTAGAATAGTGCTAATAAAGGAATAGTTGCTTTTTGTTGTTGTTGCTATGTGCCGTCGAGTCACACCTAACTCATAGCGAGCCCTCCTTGGGTTTCCAAGGCAGTATCACTACAGAAGTAGATTGCCCAACCTTCCTTCCAAGGAGTAGCTGGTGGGTTTGAACTCCCAGCCTTCTGGTTAGCAGTCAAGTGCCTTAGGCACTACGCTACCAGAGCTCCTAGTTGCATTTTAGACCTTTTGAAACAGCAGTCAAGAAATCAGACAACTTACTGTGCTGGGCAAATCTGCTGCAAAAGACTTTTTTAAAGTACTGAAGAGCAAAGATGTCTCTTTGAAGACTAAGGTGTGCCTAATGCAAGCTGTGGGAGCTCAGGTGGCATAGTGCCTAAGGCATTTGACTGCTAACCAGAAGGCTGGCGGTTCAAATCCACCAGCCAGTCCTTGGAAGGAAGGTTGGGCAATCTACTTCCATAGTAATACCACCTCGGAAACCCAAGGTTGCTATGTTGGATCTATGAGTGGGATCCGACTCCACAGCAGTTGCTTGAAGCTGCTTTGTTTGTTGAAATTGCCTCATATGCATGTGAAAGCTGGACAATGAATAAGGAATGATGAATAAGGAAGACGGAAGAGGACTTGATGCTTTTGAGTTGGGATGTTATGGAAGAATGCTGAAAGTACCATGGGCTGCCAGAAGAACTAACAAATCTGTCCTGGAAGAAGAGCAGCCGGAATGCTCCTTGGAAGCGAGAATGGCCAGACTTCGTCTCACTTGCTTTGGTCATACTGTCAGAAGGGACCATTCCCTAGAGAAGGATATCATGCTTGGTAAAGTGGAGGGTCAGCGAAAAAAGGGAAGGCCCTCAAACAGATGGATTGACACAGTGTCTGCAACAATAGGCTCAGGTATAGCAGGGATTGTGAGGCTGGCACAGGACCGGACAGTGTTTTGTTCTCTTGGACATAGAGTCACTATGTGTCGGAGCCAACTTGACAGCACCTAACAACAGCAGCAACAACAGACATGTTGAGTTTACAGTGCCATCAGCACATTCAAATGCCAGGTATTTGGAAGTGTGGAACTAGAGATAAGGAGAGGAGTGAGGGAGTTATACATACAGATACCATAGTTACAGCAGCCATGATACTAAAGGGAATTGTCAAAAACAAGTGGAGAGAGAGAAGAGAAAAGGGAGTAAGATCTTGGGCAAGTGATTCAACCTGTCTAAACCTGTTTCTCAGGAGCTCTGGTAGCATAGTGCCTAAGGCACTTGACAGCTAACCAGCAGGCTGGCGGTTCAAACCCACCAGCCACTCCTCGGAAGGAAGGTTGGGCGATCTACTTCTGTAGTGATACCACCTCGGAAACCCAGGGAGGGGTCACTATGAGTCGGGTCCGACTTGATGGCACACAACAATAACGAACCTGTTGCTCATCTAAAAAATGAGAATGATAATCACCTATTGATGGGTATTCCGTCAATTCCTGAAGCCTTGTTTTTTGCCAATTCCTTCAGTGCAGCTTGGACTTCTTCCTTTAGTACCTTTGGTTCTTGATCATATGCTAGCCCCCGAAATAGCTGAACATTGACCACTTCTTTTTGATACAGTGACTCCGTGTATTCCTTCCATCTTCTTTTGATGCTTCCTGCATGGATCAATATTTTGCCCTAGAATCCTTCAGTATTGCAACTTGAGGCTTGAATTTTTTTTCTTCAGTTCTTTCAGCTTGAGGAATGCCAAGTATGTTCTTCTCTTTTGGTTTTCTAACTCCAAGTCTTTGCACATTTCATTGTAATACTTTACTTTGTTTTCTTGAGCAGCCCTTTGAAATCTGTTCAGCTCTTTTATTTCAGCACTTTTTCCATTCATTTTAGCTA